GATGGTTAAAGTATGTAAAAATGAATGAATAGTGATGGCAGCATGAGAAGTGTAGTGGTGGGAAAACGTGGGTAACTGAACATCACTCATCTCACTTATAAACGTCTGAGTATCGTGTTTCACAAACCTGAGCAGGTTCAGACCTTTTTTAGCCTCCTAGCACATACAGCATTGTACCATGTGTCAATCAATCTTTATACCCATGTCAGCATGCAGGAAGAACAGGAGGAAAGGTGTTGAGCCACCTGATCTGTTACGAGAGTTTGGTTTTCTGGACTAGTACAGTTCTGTAGCCACTGTCTATGCATAAAAGGTATTCATGGTATGACTGCAGGGGAGTTCCTGATTGTAGCAAGGTGAAAAGTCTCTGTTTTTCTTTCAAGTACCTGTCCTGGCAACTGGTACAGTAGCTTGCCAAAAACCGGTGTAGCAGAAGCATTCTACTGAGCAATGCTTCGATGTAAAAGTGCTCCGACCACTTTACTGCTTTGACTTTGACTTTTCTTTATTGTTGCATTGCTGATCTCCAGGAAAGAAATTTCAAGCACAAATGAGAAAGACTAGCTTTTCTTAGATTATTAAAATATGCATCTTATTTATATTACAAAACTTTAACTCCCCTCAGTGAGCTTACAGACTAATCAATCAAATTACAGTTTACATCCATATTGGTCTGGACTCATATACAGTCGTGGTCAGAAGTTTTCAGACAGTCATCATGGGCATGAATTTTATAGTGATTTGTAGGTTTTAATAACTTAATTGAACTCTTCTTTTATGAGAGTGGAAAGATTGTACATAATACAACTTTAGTGACTTTAGAAAACAAGAACTGGGTGAAAAGGTTTTGAATTTATTTTGGATTTTCTCTAATCCACACAGGATGAAAAGTATACTAATACTGGGTTAAATGTTCCTTAGTAAGTTACACATGGACTCTGTCACATTTGGCACCCATCAACAAGCTTCTTGTATAACACTCGCTTGATATTTGACTATTCTTCTTGGAATAATTGGTAGAGTTGATTTAAATTAGTTGGTTTGTTGGCATGGACTCTGCTTTTAGGCAAATTTTTGACAGAAGTGACACTGAGGCTTTGGGAAGGGCCATACATCCAACGAAATTAGAAATATGATCAGTCTGTCCTTCTCAAATCATTATGTCACAATTAAATTTGCCTTTGGGATATACTGGTCACTTTATCCTATTAGACATTTGTGTGGAATTTTGACATAACTAGCAGCGCGTAGCTTGAACCAATCCCACAGGGCAAGAGTACTAAGTGCCACCATTGCACACGTTCATATCTGAAGTCAATTTAGAATTTAACTCACGCTAACTGTGGAAACAAGTTCCTGGAGAGAACATGGAAATTCCACACAGAAAAACCCCAGACTGTTAGTAGATTTGAACTCAGGACCTTCTTGCGTTTGGGCAACAGTGCTAACTACTACACTACCATGCTGCACGTAGTATGGAAATGTGTTTCATGGTGGTCACAGTAACCTTCATCTATTACCACCGAATTCAAACCAGTTCATCCTCGATTTAATTTCTCACATATTTAAAGAAATTCTGTCGTGGGTTAGATGAAATATCAGGCTCATGAGAATGAAATAGACGTAGGAAAACATAATAATAAAAAAAAATGGAAAAAATTTCTTTTGGACTTCATTAAATCTGCTTAGTTGCTTTCCATCCTAAAGTACCGGTAATGCTTCTGCACCCATACGTGAATGGTACATTAATGATGGTATTATTTATTAAAAAATGTTTTATAGCAGTTACTACTTTGTTGACTGATGCATGTATTTATTGTTTATTAGAAAGTCATCATAGTAAAAGTTGCTGAATTGGCTTACAGGAAGACGTTATCTAATACCCCAATAAACTCTTAATATCTATTTGTATCTTCAAGAGAGCTGAATTGTGAAAAGTGAAAGTACTCTGCACAGGAATCATAATCTATTGTGAAACACCAACACTTTAAATGAAGAAGTATGGTTGGAACAGACTGCAACAATCTCATTTTAAAGTCAACTTCAGCATACTATACTTTAAATCTGAAGGCTGTTTAACACTTGCAAACATGGTTGCAGTTCTCTGGTGCAGGCTTAAACCATTTTTGCCTCTGTTATTGTTCTGGGTCAGAACTGAGAGTAGTGTTCATGGTCTTTGTTTTTGGCAGTTTTGTTGCATTCTTCTTTAGTCTCAGATAGTTTCAGGTACACAGATTGTGTTTAGCCTGGCGCCTGTCTTCACTCATGTAACATCAGGAAGTAAATCTATCTTTTTCTCTGAGAAAATGCACAGTAGGCAATCTAATTTCCCTTTGACGTTTTTACATCTCTGCCCAGGGCACAATAATTATTAGTTTTCCATACTCCATTCTGTCAACACCTCAAAATTGCCTTGAGGGGATTTCTTTAATTTTGTCAAAAAATATATGATTAAGCTACTTTCACAGAGCCCTGAATTTTGAATTGTTCTACACATTTCTGAAGACCGCATATGCAATAATGAAAGTCTGTATGATGTCAGATTAAAGCTACGGTCAAACTGAGTAGCGAGCAGCTAACATTCTGGTTTATTCACTGCTTGTGAGTCATGCCTGTTATCTCCTCCGCAATATATCCATGCAGCTACCTTGCCTAAACTACAAGGAGTATTTCCAACACTGAGAATGCATCTGAAAAACATTACTTCCAGGTGTGAGAAAAACTGAGAAAAACTGATAACGGTGTAGAATATTCTAAGATGATTTTTCCTGAATTGCAAGAAGTTCATGTGTTTGGCTGGCAAGTTAGAATCAGTGGTTAAACCTCAAATTCATCATGACCACACAAAACACATGATCATTACTCAAGAACTCACACATATTATTATTATTATTATTATTATTATTATTATTATTATTATCAATGGTAGTAGTTTTACTATTTTGCTTCTGGGGATCCAGACTGTTGTCATTCTTTAAGCAATAGTTTTCCAGTGGCAGGCCTAAAAACACTATCTACAGCAGATTAACAGTATCTGAAAGTCATGTCCTTAACAGCTAAAAATAGGTCTAGCAAAGACCTGATACATGACCTACAGCTGACCCTTCATTTAATCCCTCTACTGTTCACTAAAAACTCATCAGAAATAGTCTCAGTGGAAGGGTGGCTGTCAAGAAGGCAAAAGGCTTTGGTATGCCAAATTACACAAGAACTGGACTAAAAATCAGTAGCAACATGTCTTGTGATTAATCTAAATTTAAAACTTCTGGCTCAAATTATCATCAACGTGTACTGAGGAGGTCAGGAGAGAAACACAACAGCAAGTGTCTAAAGGCGTCTTTAAAACAGGGTGGAGGCTCTGTCAGTGGTCGTGTCAAAACTGATGAAAATATAAATGAAGAAAAGTCAGATTTTGATGCACCATGCAGTACTATCTCAAAAGCCTCTGATCGACATCGACCTCATATTTCAGCCCCGAAATTACCCCAAAGTCATTGCCACTCCAGTTAAAGCAAACCTGGTTCAAAAACACAACAGAAGTCTATCAAACCTCAAAATTATTAAAGCAATGTGGAATCATCCCAACAGAGAACAGAACAAAGAAGAGAACTAATGAAATATCCCTTAAGAAACCTGGAGAACTGCTTGTTTAGAGTACTTCAAGAAATTACAAGAAATCTTGCCTAAGAGAGTTCAGACTTTGTTGAATGCTTTTTAGAAATATATACAAACTCTGTTTTTCCCCCTTTGAAACTGTATTTCCATGTATGTTTTCACATGATTAAATAAATCACTGCACCTTTTTAACATTTTCCAAGTAAACTATTAAAAAATAAGTGTGGACCATTGCACAGAAAACAATCGATTGCACTCATATTCGATCACATACATGCAAACTATCTGGTGCAAAATGTCGTTTACAGTATATGGTGCCCTGACCTGCAGACTTGCTCAGTGTAATACATATTTTCATAACTTTTAATAGAAAACTTCAGATGTGTTGTGTTTATATGCACTATGAGAGTTAAAAGCACATTTTAGACAGTATAAATAATCAAAATATTATATGAGTGTACTTAACTTTATTAAACAAATATAATGGTGAAAGCACCATTCATTAAATATTAATAGATTTACAGTAACAACAAAAGCCAACTGAAATACCCTCAAATCCTCTGCAAACACATACTAGTTTTCTTTCCACTGGTTGCTCTCCTATTGAGATCAGTGTTTCCCTATCAGTTCAGGGGAGACAGACTGTCTGGTGAGAGTAGGTGATCATTATCTACTGTCCTCAGCGGACAGACAGGCCTGCTGTTCATGCCTCACTGTATGTGGGTGGTATGCTGAGCTCTGATACCTGTGCTGCTACTACCTCTGTGCTTGTAGCAACATTAGGAGCTGGAAAGCCCCAACCACCACGTGTCTCAGAGCTGAAACAATGTGTAAAACTGTAAAAAGGCAGCTGACTGTAACAGATCACAGATCAATGCAAATGTGTGCACGTTTGTGCTGCTGTTAAGACTTATTTTAATAGTACATTTTGTCATTATTGTGCAGCATGCTTTAACGTCTTCGACAAGTTCAAATAAAATAGTAAAACTATGTGAAGAGCATTGCTTTTAGCAAAATGTCATATATAAACAGCTTTCTTGAGTTGTTAGTTTAGGGAAGATCAAATCTACAGTTTAATATTACATATGTTTTCCCACCTGTTGCCTTTCCTAAGGTCGTGGAGATCAGATGTAGATAAGATTTTAGGATTGCTGTGTGTTAGAACATTACTTGTCACTCACGTAAACTCAGTACACCTAAATAAGTCTTTGATCGCCCTGCTTCAAAAGGGGGAATATTTTTGACTGCAGTTAAAACACAGCCTCTTGACCCCTGCTTCAACCTAAACAGCCTCCACGGTTTCACACACAATGGCATAAACAGTGTGAGAAACCCGGTGAGATCAAAGCTGGCAACAACAGCTGCGCGGTACCTGTGGGAGGAGTGTGTGTATGTGTCCGTGTGCACCTGCAGACACAATCATAGAGCTGCCTTGCTTACCGGGCAGATAGCAGTCGCAGCCGGACCCACAAACAAACCGATAGCTTACCTGAGTCATGGATGCAGAGAAGTCCCCCCAAGGTGCGCAGATTCTGGACATCGGCTCAAACTCGCCCCCTTGTGAGCCTAAAGGTGCGCAGGAGACCGGACAGCTGGAGAAGCCGCCGTATTCATACGTGGCTCTCATCGCCATGGCCATCAAGGACAGCGAGAACAAGAGACAGACTCTGAGCGGGATCTATCAGTATATAGTGTCCAAGTTCCCCTACTACGAGAGGAACAAGAAAGGCTGGCAAAACAGCATAAGACACAATTTGTCTCTCAACGAGTGCTTCGTCAAGGTGCCCAGGGACAGCGGAGGGGACAGAAAGGGCAACTACTGGATGCTGGACCCCGCATTTCAGGACATGTTTGAGAAGGGAAACTTCCGACGGCGGAGGAGGGTGCGGAGACCCTACAGACCCCCGAGTGTGCCTTACCTGGGCGGGAATCCCGTGGAGTACTCTGAGTCGCTCTACCTGCAGCCTTACGTGAGCAGCTCCTGGAGCATGTGCCAGCCCGGCTCGACCCCACCGACGGGATATGCGTCAGCTACGGTCAGCACGGGACACAGCCGCAGCGTGTCCCCGGGCACCTCCATGACCTCCTACTGCACCCCTCCTCCCCACTTTCACCATCCTCACTACGGCGCTTACTGCCGCCACCCGCCCGTGCTGGTCCCCCACAACGGGTATCCTTACGGCGGGGTGACCCAACCGATGAGCCCGGATGGAGGCACCGTTTCCGTGGCTTGCAGCTACCAGCAGTTCACCTCCTACGGCAGGCCAGCGGACCCAGCCCTGGCTTATTTAATGGACCAGTAGGACTTTTGAGTTATTTTGTGCTTTGATGGCAAGTTCACATCTGAGTTCGCCTCTCACCATTTCAGTTCGGCTGTCACTGGTTTGTCAGGTACTTGGTTTAGTTTGGCAGTTTCATATGTCTGTTATAAATAATGCTGTTGATGATTTTGTTTGTATAGATTTTGTACAGTTTTTATAAAGTTTGGGTTTTTGTAAGAATTACAGACGGCAGGTCTACCATATACCATGTCATTTTACTTCAAACGTGCCCCCATCAAGTGTAAACGGCAGGAAGACAGCTGATCTAAGTCTGAGGTTTGAGGTTTGCATTTTTATTTTGTAATTTTTTTTTACTGCGGGTTATAGGCTTACAAATAAGCAAACTTTTGTTCTTTTTCTCTGTTTTTTTATATTGGTATATAATTTTGAATAGGCCTGTACGTTTGCTGTAACGTTATTTATTTGTTTTCTCCGGATTTATCCAAATGTGTGAGCTGCTATAAAAGATGAATGACATTCAAGCACTGACCCGTTTTCTCATTCGATTGTGAATGTTTGTTTGATGTAAAATACATCACGTTTGTTCAAATAAAGTTATTTTTGCATCAGAAACTTCACCCTCTCCAATTTGTTATCATTATTATTCATTTATTAATGATGATGATGATGATTATTGTAGAAGACTTGATACATTTTAAGCGAGGCTACCTGAAAATGCAGGTTTTAAAGTGGATATTAGCTGTAGTATTTCACAGACCTGTATTCTTTGTTTAAACTGTTTCTAAGTATTGAAGGTTTTTACTTGTGTAAAGTGATGGAAACTTTTTCAAGCGGAAGTACTTTGATACTGAGGAAATATAGGAAAACCTGATATTTCTAAGAAAAGTTCGGAAGCCAATAACAATAACAGTTAATAAAGTTTTATGTCCCGAACAGGCTTTTTAATCTGGGTTAATACCCTGTCCCGCATTCCAACACGATCATAGCATGTATCCTCTGCACAGCTATTTACTTACCGTAGAGGAAAAACATGCTTAGTTTCTTTCATTTTTAATTTGTTTTACTTTAAGAAACACCGCCACCAAAATGTGCTATTGGGCGCAAATGAAAAGCAGCATCGTAAGCGTTAGAGTGGACAGCAAGGATTTAATGAACCCTATTGGAACGCGCCCAGGTATTGACGTACTTTCCGTTTCCGTTACAGGGGCGTGAACAAAAGGAATCGTTTGCCGCGTGCGCGCTCGCGCCGTGTTTTGCAATCTTAAAACACTACGTTTAATGTTTTTGCGAAAAAAGATGGAGACGCTTAGCAAGCTTCTGCTGGAATACCCCGAATTAATGTACAGCGGAGTCGGAGCTACGGCGTTTTTCGCCGGCGGAGCGCTCATATATAAAATTGCCACCAGGTAACTTCTCCGACTTCTGGCACCGCGGCGGTGTGTTTGTAGCTAACGCTACATTCACGCTAGCACAAGTTAATGTGTGTGGAATAAAAGAAACACACCAGTTGATTTTTTTAATTGTGACATTAAAGAAATAGTGCTTCCTGTCCTGCTCCTATTGCTCCTCTGGAGAGATCTGTGTATTTACGCTAGCCCGGGCGCTCACTTTAAGAGCAGCTGTGCCGCTAACTAACTTGATGCTTCGCAGTTTTGTGAGTCCAACTTTAGCTAACCCTGTTTGCTGTTTACAGTTAGTATTTAAAATGTCACGTGACATCAATACAATGGGCATATTCAGATGTCTCAGGCTAGGTTAAGTATTTTTGCATAACTGAACAGCAGCGGTTGCCACTGAATAACACGCTGGATTTACCTTGTTGCTTACAGAAAGAAGCCCACCCATGCAAGTGTTAACTGCTGGTTCTGTAATCAGAACACAGTTGTGCCCTATGGGAACAGGAACTGCTGGGATTGCCCCAATTGTGACCAGTACAATGGCTTCCAGGAGGTAAGTGTTATACACTATGTAACTTGTTTCTTAAGTGTGGTAATTCTTTTTCTCTAACGCATATACATTTTTTTAAAACTGTCTGTGTTTTCAGAATGGGGACTACAACAAGCCCATTCCTGCTCAGTACATGGAGCATCTAAATCATGGCATATCTGGAAGCCTTCCTTCATCGGAGACACCTAAGACTCTGCAGTGGGTCAACTGTCAGATGCTGCTTTGCCGGAAGTGTAATAACAACCAGTCTGCAAAGATCAAACAGTTGGCCTCATATATCCCGAGGGATGATGTATGCACTTTGTTTCTGTCACATCATAGTATTGCCCAACATGCTGTTCTGAAGAATAACACCAAATGCCGTTTCTTTCTCCCGTAGGAGAACTACGATGAGGAAATTGAAGCCTACAAGCATCACCTGGAGCAGACTTATAAGTTATGCAGGCCATGTCAGACAGCAGTGGAGTACTACATTAAATATCAGAACCGCCAGCTTCGTACGGTGCTTCTTAATAATCAGCTGCGGCGCACCCGGGAGTCAGACATGGGCTTTGTAAAGGTCAGTGCAACCCGATCTCACCCAATCAGGCAAATATTGTGAATTATTTAATAAAAAAAAATCACACATAAAAGACACTAAATGACCAAATGCTGTAGCATGCAGGGTGTTTGACCTTTAGCCAGATACTAAATAACATGATTATTTTAGCTGAGACAAGCAGGAAACTGCCTTAATTTTAACTTTTTTTTCTGTGATACCATCTTGTTGCTTTTTCAAGTCAAAGTCAACTTTATTGTCAATTCTGCCACATGTACAGGACATACAGAGAATAGAAACTTCGTTACTCTCAATCCCTAGATAAAATAGAAAATGAACATTTAAATATAAGAGTGATTAAAAATGCAAGTAAAATATTTTAAAGTAAAAAAAATTAAATAATATAATACAATTTTACATATAACAAGAAAGCTATACAATATACAATATAAGGGTAAATGACATTGAGTGCAAACCAATGAGATAGTGTAACACAAAGTCTTATGAGGTAATGGCAGTCCAATGCTCCACAAAGTGACTGGTAACTGGTGCAGGCCAGTGAGTGAGTCAGAGAGTGTGTGTGTGTGAGTGTGTGTGACAGAGTTCAGTGAGACCGTGGAGGAGAGAGGGGAGAGGGGGCAGAATCGGGAGGGAGTTAAGCTTCCTGACAGCCTGATGGATGAAGCTGTCCTTCAGCCTGCTGGTCCTGGCCTGGAGACTCCGCAGTCTCCTCCCCGACGGCAGCAGCTTGAAGAAGCTTTGCATTGGGTGCGTGGGATCAGCCGCTATGCAAAGGGCTTTTTTAGTGAGACGGGTGCTCTAAATGTCCTGGAGGGAGGGGAGAGAGACACCAATGATCCTCTCTGCAGCTCTCACTATGCGTATTCATGTTTAACATAATTTGTTCATCTTGAAATGTAAGAGGGAAACTTTCATCCTTTTGCTCTTTGTTGTTACACCTAATGACATAATGCCTTATCAGTAGCTATTTAGTGTGCATTCGGATCCTCTTTGACCTACTCAAACAAAATAGGCAAGTGTTCAAACAGTGAAGCGATCAACAGGTTTCTTGTTTTCATGGGTCTGCTGATAAGGATTAGCGCTTTGACACAGTCAAGTCCTGCTTTTCAGCGTTTGAAGTGATTAATCAATTGTTACCGCTTCTGCTCCAGTGTGATCTGTGACGTTAGGCGTCATGTCTAATTTCAGGTTGTGTGAGGATACGAGTGAACGATATTTAACCACTGCTGTGGCTTTAATGGAGTGCATTAAACTTTGACTTTCTTATTCACACTAGTGATTCATTAATGTGGTGCAGTCCTGTTACCCGTTTCTTGGTAAAGCACTGAACTATAACTAACAGTGCTTTCAGTTCGTTTAATTGGCATTCAGAGCCCTGTTGTAGACTTTATTAACACTATGTTGACATTGTATGCTATTAATTTCAGTATGCTGTGAAAATGTCACAATAAGAGCCTGTTTTTTTTTTTTGTTTTGTTTTCTTTGTTTGGTTTGTTTTTGTCCTCCTGCAGAGTGCCCAGTCCCTGTCCTCTCCCATGGGAGTCGTACTCTTGCGGGCCCTTGCCTTCCTAATATGTGCTTTCCTTGCTGCCACAATTTTCTGTGAATTGCCAGACCAGCCTTCGTCACCTGATGGCTCGCAGACATTAAGTGGTGGGGTTGTTCCTCCAAAGCCTCAAGTCCACAATGAGTCTACCCACACTGATAACAGCAGCAGAGTGTCGCCTGTGTGGCAGAGTCTCCTGGAGCTGATCCCAGACAAGGCCATAGAAAATGCCGAGCTTGCGTGGCAGCATGGGAAGGACAACCAGCTGGCTGTAGTCTCTGTTGGCCTGTTAACTTGTCTCACTGGTATCTTCTTAGCTGGACCTGCAAGGTAAGCAGCCACCATTTTATTTGCCTTTGGGTGGGCAGTTCATAGTTCCCAGTTTAATTAAAACAAAAAAACAAATCTTGCTGCATTTCAGGTTGAGGAGAATTGATGCTGTAGCCTCTGTCCTGTGGTTCTTCATCCTGTGCCTCTACATGGCCGAGAGCTACATGACTGATGCCTTGAGCTGGATGTACACAACGAAGCTTGTTGGCGTCTCCCTCTGTTGCCTCGTCAGCTTTGCTGCTGCCGTGGCAACTCGTAAACCGCTGGGCGCACGGAGAGCCAGATACCGAAGGTCAGAACCTGAGCAGTAATGTTCACATTGTATTTGAAACCGTGGATTATACAAAAACATGTCGTCTTTCCGTGAATGCTTCCCATTCATAAGCATCAGATCAAAAAGCATCAATCTAACAAGTGTTATTGGTGTATTTTTAATGTTGTCATTTCTTTTCATTTCTGTCACTGTCTGTTTTTAAACCTTCAATCTTCCAGCTCTGTGTGAGAATGACTGTGATGTTCTGACATGTGAATGATAATCTCCAGATATGGCACACGACCTGAAGCTAGTCCCTTCTCCTTACCAAATCCCACCTTCAGCCACACAGCCACGTGCTGAGCAGGTGCTTGATGCATCAATTTTTGGCAGTTAAAACAATTTTGCATCAGATAATATTGTTACCTCATGGTAGTGCTTTGTCCTTCTGCTTTGAATAATTGTTATTGTCATTGTTTGTTATCTATTCACTGAGAGAAGCAATGAGGAAACATTTCAGTAATCATAATATCATAAAGGTATTATTTATAAGCTTACTCTAATTATTATCAGTTATAAAGTCCTAAGAAGGTTAACAAGTAAACTTTACAGGACCTTCTGACATTTCAACCTATTGGTGTTCTCTATTCAAATGACTGATTATGTATTTAGCATCATTATTACTGCACCATATATGTGAAAAAAATGATGTTTAAATAAGCTCATTTTTGCAACCAGTATATTGGGTTGTTAACATTTTTGGTTTTAGCTACTATTAACTGTGCTTTACACTTCACTAGATTGTTTAAAGGTGTTTTGAATGTACTCGTTTAACACTGTTAAAGCTGTGGGGCTTCTAACTACAACTCACTGCATGAAATACTAATTTGTGTAAACACTTTATACCACACATAAGATGTGGTATTTGCGTAATCACACTCTTTCTCTATCGCTTCACATCACC